TCCGATCTCCCCAAAACCCCAAAACCCCATTAAGCTTAAGTTGATTCAATTTAAGTAATCAAAATTATTTAAAATATATATTGTTAGTAAGCTGAAAATATCATAATAACAAGAGTTCATTCTATTCGTCAAAATTAACTTCTACCTCATCTTTGGTAAATGAGTCTATACTTGGCCTTCCTAGTCCTTTGGTCTCATCGAAATCGGACTTGAGTTCGTCATCTTCTATTTCTCTAAATTCTAAACCATCATTATCATTTTCAAGATCTATGTTGAACAAGTCTGTTTGAAACACCTTATTCCCAATTTAATCCTAAGACGGAGTTTTACTGCTATCATCAAGAATTGCTTCTTCAGCTTAATAACTCGGAGGAAGAATGCTCAATTATGTGATATTAATCTTCTTCTTTTTTTTCTTTTTAGTTGTGGTTTATTAAGGAATCTCCTCTCCATTTGATAGATTTTTAAACCCAGTTTACTCAATGATATGCTCTAGCTACGACTTATTATCTTCTTATAATACTTCTCCTATTTATGAATTTTAAACGCTAAATCTCATCTGATTTTAAAGATTCTGACTTCCATTACCCTACATGAATCGACGCTTTATTAAATTAGACTTGAAGTCCATTTTGATCTCTCCATTTAGGAATTTATCTTTTAGCAAATGGAACTGCATATCCTCTAATTACTTCTTAGCTACTGGCTGGCTTGGAGAGGAATTATCATTTTGATTTTGACTCATTTATGTAGTTTTCTGTTTTAGTAACTCGAAAATATTTCTGTCTCCTGATTTATATATTTCACTTATCGTCACTGGTTAACCAGTCGACTTTGCTAGGAGATTAAGCGTTTTACTAGTTGAATTCTTTGCTGTTTAAATCTAATTAGGATTAAAACCATACTTGGTTTACATCAGAGCTATGCGTTATTAATGTCCATTAGAAATGTAATCTTAATTTAGGTTATTGTTAGAACTCTTTCTTAATATTGGACTATTATCTAGTTTAGCTTAATCAGGAGTTGGCTTTTAAATCTTTGTCACTGATTGAAACTTTTTATTTGAAGTCATAGTTGATGCTAAAGTTTGAGTAATAGCTTGGTCATTGTTAAGTTAAGAATTATTATGATTAGATCTTGAAACACCTTCTTTCATTTTATAATTATTATTAAATTAAGGAATATTAAACTAATTCAAATCATTAGCATTATTTTTTCTTGCTGAATAATTGGCAAAAACTCCTCAATACCTACTGTGAGATCTAAGCTAAGATTAAAGATTTGGTTTAATGTTATCCATATTGCTTACAAGCCTAGCTGACGGGGAATATTGAGTCTCATAAATCCTTGTTTTCAGATTTGAACTAGTTTAAGCTTTAATTGAAAACAACTCTCGTTTAATTTCTTTGTTCAGAAATACTTTTAATGGATCTAATGCAATTCTTTTCTTTTAATCATCAATCATTTACTGTGATTCTTCAGGCTAGTATTTAAAGTTTGAACTGCTATTCTCATTTAAGAACAAAGCATGAGATAATTCTTAGTTTTAATTTGATTCTTCATAATGCTTTAAAAAGTTTTTCTTTCTATTAGGACCGTATAAAGTCTAATCGGGATCATCAAGGACAGTTTAAAATCCTGTTTCTCTTGCCTTGATTTGCTTCTCATCATAATTATCCAACAGGACCATATACTTTTTGAATTTTTCCTTGAAAGTCTATTATTTAGATTGATCGATAGGAAGATATCTATCCTTCGCTTTCTATTGTCTTGTAATCAAATCTTTATTATTATCATGTATATACCGCTTGTAATATTATTTTCCAAATTCTTAAGAGGAATTCAACTGATCACTTACTGATGATAGCATCTATATTTTATAAAGTTAAGTTTAATTTCTAAAAGAGTTTTATAGTTTACAGTTTTATTGTTAGATTCTTATCTCATAAATGTAACTCTATTCACACTTTTGCTTTATCTAGTTACGGGCTTGGTACCATATTCATGCTGAGGTAATATTCTGATTAAACTATGCTAGCTTAAATTATTGTCTTTTCAATGAACTTCGCCTTGTTAGTAACTAAACTTACTTTGACTTCTAAGATTTCGACTATGAAATATTCTCCTCTAGTTATGTATCTTTAATGGCGATTCATCATTATTAGATTACTAAGTGTAATGCTGATTAATAATATTTGAATCGTATCCTTTTTCTTAGCTTGACCCTCTCCTTTAAGAATTTTATTGCTAATATGAATCTATCTGATAAAGGGATTTATTGTTATCCCTCCTCTACTGAGCTTAATTCTAGAATAGCTTTTTCCTAAGTGCTTCTTTGACAAAGACTTTCATAGCTTCTTAGTTATTCTGGATTTTGTACATAAACTCTCTTACTTTATCCTCATTCAACTGTCTCTCATTTTTCTTCTTTATTATTAGTTAGAGTGGGGGAATTATCGATCCTCATCTAGTTCTTCCCTATATCTCCTAATCTTCTTTGTATGAATCAAATATTTTCTGTTATTGCTATTTAGGATTAGTCAGATTTTACTATAGCATGCTATAAGATAATTCAAAATTTGTAATTTACGTTGCCAAATTCCTGGACATTTTATAAACTTTTATTTTCACTTTAATTCTATCCAGCTTGATTTTAGAAATTTGGATCTCTCGGGGTTTTGGGGTTTTGGGG